GTGCCGTGGTGAGATGTCTGTACGTGGTGCAAGTTGTGTGTGTATGTATTGTGCGGAGGTAAGGTGTGTGTATGTACGTGCGTGACGGTGGGTGTGTAATGTGCGTTGCGTGACGTCGGGTTGCTATGTGCGGTGCTGTGCGTGTGTGTGTATTGTGCGTGCGTGCGTATGTGCGTGGTGTGTGTCGAACATGTGCGTACGTGCGTGGTCGGTAGTGTGTATGTGCGTGACGTAGCAGTGCATGCGTGCGTGAGTGGTGTGACTGTCCTAGTAGTGCCGTGCGTGGTGTGTGTATGTACGTGCGGTGAGTGGTGTGTGTATTGTACGGTGCGTGCGTGCATGCGTGGAGTAGGTGTAGTGTATGTGCGCTGACCGTGCGTGGTGTACAGTGTAATTGTACGTGCGTGCGTGCTGTGTGTTAATGCTATGTACGTGCTGAGTGATCGTGGATGGTGCTGTATGTACGTGACCCCCTTGTGTGTGGGCCTGGTGGTGATAGTCTAAATGTACGTGGGCGGTGGCCCGTTGCATTATGCTGTGGCCCCCGTGGTGGTGTGTGTCATGATGCCGTGCATGCGTGCGTGGTGTGTTGTATGTTGCTGTTGCGGTGCGTTGGGGTGTGTATGTGCCCGCGGCGCTGAGAGAGTCGTAAATGTGTGTTATGTTACGTGCGTGGTCGTGGCGTGTGTGATATTGTGCGTGCATGCGGTGAGGTGTGTATGTACGTTGGGTGACATGGGTGGTCGTTGTACGTTGCGTGGCGTGGTGCTGTGTTTATTAGTGCTGTGCGTGCTAGGTGGTGTGTATGTGGTGCATGCGTGACACTGGCTGGTGTGATGTATGTACGTGCGTGAGTGAATGTGTGTGTTATGTACGTGCGTGACACGTGATGTGATATCGTACGTGCGTGCGTGATGTGGTGTAACTGTACGTGCGTGCTGGTGTGTGTATTGCGTGCGTGACGTGGTGTGTGTATGTCAACAGGTGGCGTGGTCGTGGTCGTGCATGTATGTCGATTGTTACGGGTGCGTGCGTGTGTTGTATGTACGTGCGGTGCATGGATGTGTGTATGTGCGTGCGTGCGATGGTGGATTGTGTATGTCTATGCGTGCCGTCGAGTGTGTGTATGTACGTGCGTGCGTAGTGGTGTATGTTACGTGCCCTGGCTGTGAACAAATCCCGTGCGTGCCGCCAAGTAGTGTATTGTCATGCGTGCGTGGTGTGACGTGTATAGTGCGGGCGGTGCGTGGGTGGTGGGTGTATGCTACGTGGTGCTGAGTGTGTGTATGTGCTATATTCTCGTGCAGAGCAGAATAGCCCAGGCAAATACCGAGCATACAAACAACGCACCTCCCGAACAAGTGCGTGGTGTGTGTATTGTACGTGCTATGTGGCACGTGGTGTGTGTATGGACGTTGCGTTGAGTCTGGTGTGTGTATGTTTAATACGTGCGTTGCGTAGTCGGGTGTGTGTATTGTACATGCGTGCCGTGGCTCTGTGTATTGATGCGAGCCGTGCGGTGGTGCCTGGTGTGTCACTGTGTATGTACGTGCGTGCGTGATGTGTGTATGTACGTGCGTGCATGGTGTGTGTATGTGCGTGCGTGCGTGGTGTGTGTATGTGCGTGCGTGCGTGGTGTGTGTATGTACGTGCGTGCGTGGTATGTGTATGTACGTGCGTGCGTGGGTGGTGGTGTCTGTATACAACGTGGGTAATATATGAATAATACAAATATATACAATAATACAATAATACATATAATATAATATAATATACAATAATAATAATAAATAATAATAATAATAATAATAATAATAATAATATAATATACAATAATACAATAATATATAATATATGAAAAATACAAGCTAGTGCCCCCTTTCTTTTGTAAACGAAAACGCTGGAAACTATACAATTGAATAATAAAATCGGAAATGAAAAAAAAACATATGTCGGATATGTCGTTTTGCATCGTGCCGGCTGTGTCACTGTAATGTCGTAACTCACACGGCGATGTCATCACCATCATCATCATCAGCAACAACAGCAGCAGCAGCAGCAGCAGCAGCAGCAGCGGTGTGCGGGCGGCGAAATTTTTTTCCCCAAACGGTATAACATAGGAAGAATTAAGCGCCGCCTGATTGGCTGCTTCGATTTGCTTTGACTGAAGAAAACACCATTTGTAAATGTTTGTTTTGTTTTATGACCGCTAGATAAGCGGCGCGTGCGGGCGGGTCAGGCAGCGGTGGTTGCCGCTGTACGGTGGGTGATGCAATGCCCCTAGTAGCGTGATGCAACAGCAACACAGCAGTAGCGCCCATGCGGATGACTCATCATCGCTGATATATAAAGTGCAGCCACGAGTTCAGTGGTGAGAGTAATACTGAGAGACAGAGTCACACTTCGTTCTTCATCGCTGGCCTAGCCTGTGTCTGTATTCGTGCCGGTACTACTACTACTGCTACCACGACTAGCTACTAACTCCCTATTCAGGTAAGTTCACGTTTTATGCTGTTTTACTTTGTTAGCGAACGTTAAGAGTGAACGAAGACGGAAGTTATAGTTTCATATTTGCGTGTGGTCTAGCACGAGCGTCCAGCGTGACTGTGCGCCCGCGTGTGTGCGCAATGTTGGAAGCCATTGGTTTGTAGAGCGTGGCAAATAGGTAGTTATCACTGCGGCAAGTGTCATTGCGATCGATGTAAAGTAGGTTGCGCTTTTACGCTTCGTGTTGTTGGAATCGCGAGTTGCACGCAACGCGTTTGCGCATCAATCATAGCGTTAGAATCCTGGACGGCCGCTGTCCCGGACCGCCGGCGTCGCGTTTCGATATGATGAGTCAATCACTCGAAGAACCGTTTAGTAGACGTGCGCATTACGTTGTCCGCAGGCGTCGCCGTGACGATGAACGTTCTCTTGTTTCAGAATCTCCGTGACCCGGGGATACCTCCCCGCAGCGCACGCTCCCGCGTGACACGACCGACCCGCGGCCATGGACATGGGCCACGCCGTGGAGACACTGAAGAACTCCTTCCTCTTCCAGTTCAGGACGGGCAACGTCGTCGTGGATACGATCATCACTGCAGCCATCGTCTGCCTCACCACCTACCTGCTCATGCTGCCCAGCCACCTGGGGTGGTTGCCTGAGGCGTGGCGGCGTCTGCGGCTGCGCAACCGCCACCAGCTGATGATCGAGGGACGTAAGATCACCCAGGGACCGTACCACTCGCGGCTCTTCTACTCGACCACGTTCCTCGCTCTGCTGCACGAGATCAAGTCGATGCGAGCGGCGGCGGCCGGCGTCACCGAGATGACGGAGATCGATGTCGCCATGGAGCAGCATCACCGTAACGACTACGACTACGAAGACGACGCCGCGGCGGACACGGTGGTAACGGGCTTCCTCGTTAGTCAGCAGCATCCGTTCACGCTCGCGCCGCACCTGCACGTGGAGGTGCGCATCAGCCGCAGCAGCGACGACGGCAGCAGCAGCACGAACGTCGTGGACAGCTTCGAGATCCGTCTGTTCTCGTCCGTGTTGACGGTCGACGACCTGATGGCGTACGTGGACACGCGCGTGAGAGTCTACCGCGCTCACCTGCAGCGAGACATCGAGCGGAAGCAGCGCTACCTCGTCTACCGGCCGCCGAACGTCGGCACCGCCGACGACAGGGTGTCCGACCGATGCGCAGAGTATGACGAGTTCCCCTTCGAGACGACGCGGTCGTTCGACAACGTCTTCTTTGAGGGGAAGGAGGAGCTTGCGGCGCGCGTCGACTTCTTCGAGACGCAGCGTGACTGGTACCGGCGTCGTGGCGTGCCGCACGCGCTCGGGCTGCTGTTCCACGGTGAGCCCGGGTGCGGCAAGACGAGCACGATCAAGGCCCTCGCCGCGCGCACGCGCCGCCACGTCGTATCCATCTCACTCGCCCGCGTGCGCTCGGCCGAGCAGCTGCGACGCATCTTCCACGACCCGACGATCGATCGCCGCGACGTACCCATCTCACGCCGCCTCTACGTCGTCGAGGACATCGACTGCGCCGCCGTCTCCCACGTCGTTACTCTCACTCTCACTCTCACTCTCACTCTCACTCTCACTCTCACTCTCACTCTCACTCTCACTCTCACTCTCACTCTCACTCTCATTCTCACTCTCACTCTCACTCTCACTCTCACTCTCACTCTCACTCTCACTCTCACTCTCACTCTCACTCTCACTCTCACTCTCACTCTTACTCTCACTCTCACTCTCACTCTCACTCTCACTCTGTGTGTGTGCATGCAGATGTGCGTGTGTGGATGCGTGCGTGCTTGCGTGTGGGTACGTGTGTGCGTAGGTGCGTACGTGTGTGTGTGAGTGTGTGTGCGCGTGCGTGTGCATGTGTGTCTGCGCGTGCGTGTGTAGGTTCGTGCGTACGTGTGAGTGCGTGTGCGTACGTGTGTGCGTACGTGAGCGTGCGTGCGTGCATGCCTGCGTGTGTGTGCGGGTGCGTGGGCTTGTGTGAGTGCGAGGGTAGTCCGTATCCACGTTCGTGTCTGTCGCTCCCACTACCCCTCCCGTCGCGTGTGTCAGTGTTTGTGTCTAGATCGGCTGCACACATCTTCTGGTCGTTGATGCGAATCAACGGACATCGATTTCTGATGAACATTGAACAATTTCTGTCTGATTCGAACAATGAGAAATCGTTGAATTGATTCGTATGGTAAAATTTCACGTGTTTCTTTGCAGGCAATTCGTCCCTCACTGCCTCCCCCACATGAACGATAGAGCAGCCGCGGTGAATAGCTCATAACCTCGTAAATATTAGTCTTCAAAGTACAAGGGACTATCACGAAGACAGAGCGAGACAGAGTTGATAAAATAGACAGATCAACACTGCGGATTGCAGTAGAACGCCTCAAGTTTGCAACTAGCTAGAGAAGAAGGGAGAGAATTCCAATATGGAATGACAGAGACAATGAAGCTAAATTTAAATGAAACCTTAGAAGATGACATATATCGAAAGCAATGATCACGCTCAGACGATCGAGTGCAACGAACAAGCTTCATCAAGCAATAGGGAATGCCAAATCACTCATCAAATCAGCTCACAAATCCGATTAAATAAAGGGTGGAACATTGAATTATTTTACACTCCCGCCCGTGGCTGTTAAGAAATAGAGCCCATCCCTCTCCTTCTCTAGTCGATAAGCGGCTGTATAGATCCTCACTAGAAGTGGAGTAAATAAATGTCCATAGTTATCCATGTTATTTGAAATGTTTATTATCTTTTATTAACTTATTTTTTTCAGATGTTTTATCATCATATTTTTTTATCATTTATGTTTTATTATCTTACTCCACATTAATCAATATGTATTGTATATCCACGCACTGCTAGTACATGTGTGCTGTTACAGCTAGAAATAAGAAAAACTGACTATAACCCCGCGTAACGTAGGTTAGCTTGTCATTTATTTCCCCTTCCTCCAATAATATTCGCCCCATT